ACAATCATAACCACGTAACAGAACGGAAGGAACATATGCATAGACTCAAAAGATGGTTCATACGCAATTCTAGAGGGGCTCCCAACCAATAGTGTAACACTAAGTTACGTATAGCACTTGTTCCACACTAAATGTCAAACTACGGTACAGACCGGACAAATGTGTGGATCAAGAAGGTGCGCTCGTTACGAACCTCTAGACAGTGGCTCCCACCATAGTGTAGCCTTAGCTCCGTATCAACACTTGCTTACCACCAGAATTCAGAGGGTTAATGGATCCTGACAGACAAAGGTCACCAAGGTATTATCGGAGGGTCAATCAGTTATTTAAGTCCCTCAATGCGTGGACTCCCGGGTGGTCGTACAAAACAAATTTGCTTATAAGGTGTATGTCAAAATATTTTAAAATATAAACAAACATATTGAGTGGGATTTCATTTTAAAGCTAAATAGGGTTTAACAATTAAACCACGTAACTGAAATATTAAATAGTTTTATAATTTAAATAAACATATAGCTTGTATAACGAATACATAGGGGTAAGTCAACAACATAGTAAAAATATATTTGGGTAACTTAACATATAATACACTTATCTTAACTAATATATCGCTATTTCTTCACTACAAAACCTTTCACACGTCCATTATTCTTTTTTTTTTTCTATCATTTCATACTACTTTCTTTTTTCTTTTCCTTTCTCTTTGTTCACTCTCCCCTCTATATAGAGAAAACGGCAGCGGTCGGCACCAAGCCACGCGCTGCCACGTGCGCGCTTCTCAGTTACTCTCTATTAATTAACTTATCATAACTTAACTTAGTTATTTAATTATATTTGACTCTTAAATTTTAAAATTATAGTTATTTTCAAAATTCATACATAATATACAGAAATAAATCGTATATTTATTCTAACTGTAATTTTTTTTTTTTTTTTTTTTAAATATATTTGGTATAAAATTTACAAATAATTAAAATTTTAGATTGTACAAAATCATATATTTAAATTATAATCATTTTATTTTTTTCTTTTCATATCAAATCACCTATAAAAAAAGTCAATCTCACTCAAGAACACACATTTTAAACTAAACTAAAAATAGCCAATAGATCAAAAACTCAGGCTAAAAAGTTCACCCAACAAGGCTATATAACACAAGAAAAAAGACAAAATACGTATCGGCATCCTGCCGTAGGTAAGCCCGAATCTCCGAGTCTCGAATTGGCTCGAGGTGCCAACGCACTTCTTTTTTTTATTTTTTCCTTTTTCTTTCTCTGTGTTGTATTGTGTCTTCCCAGTTTTTTTTTCTTTTCTTCTTTCTAAAAAAAAGAGAGGGAAAAAAATAAAATTAAATATCAAACATCAGAAATCAAAAACCAATACAAATAGCCTTTTTGTTTCATATTTTCCTCTTTTTTTGCTTCTCTTTTTTTCTTTTCTTTCTCTTTGGCCGAACTCCTATGATTGTCTTACTTCAGAGCAAGTGTTGGCCATAGGGCCGAGGTTCGACCTAGCTCCACCTTGGAGTGAGTGTTGCATTGGGCCTAGTACCAAGACTTGATTAATTTTCACCCACTTCAGAAAAAAATAAAGACAAAATTGTGTTTGATGAGCTGTTGGAGGGAGTCGTCGCCAGAGGATGTTGAATTATCTATAGAAAAAATCTATATCAGAATAAAGCAAGGCAGCATCACATAAGCATGCTTCTTGTTAAAAAAAAAAATATATTTATATATATATATATATATCTTAATTGCATTATCTTTAAAAGTCAAGTAATTTTCAATTTTTATTTTTTAAAAACAGAGAAGCTAGAGAGAGATATTATCCCAAGTTGTCTTCAGCATTTGCTTAACCATGAATAAAAGAACCTTAGGAAACATCATGATAATCTTCACTTTTTTTCCACCCATTGTTTTATTTATTTATTTTTTCTATTTAAAGTCAACCTCATAATCACTTAAATAAATAAATAAGTTCATCCACCATTTCCATTAATTTGACAACATTGGTATGTCACATGCACTTATAATTATATATATAATCAAGGAGAAAAACATGTAAAAAGCAAACTCTCTTCTTATTTTATTATGGATATTACTAGCCACCAACCTTAAGGTGTTGATTAAGAGTCAAATATGAAGAAAAAATTAAAAATTTCAATATGCATTTTACCAATTTCCATAGACTTTTATATTATTAGGATGCGCATTTTACTTTTATATTACTAATTTCACCTCTTACATATTATTAGAACGGAACAAGACAAATTATTATCATTTATGATTGGCATAATGTTAAAAATCTTTAGTAAATTTTTTCTTAATTTCTTTTTATCTGGATTAAAGGAGTAAAAAAATATAAAAAAAAAATTAATCTTTTTTAAATAAATGGCAAGTCATGTTATCAATCAACAACATATATACTTACAAATATTTGTATTAATAAGGAAATTATTGATTACTCCAAAGACAAGCTGATGTGCAACTTGATTATCATTGATTGAATTAGTGAGATCCATCATCTTTCTATCTCTTTTTAGGCAATAAATTAGGTGATAATGAGATATTTATCCTCAATGAATGACGTAGAACAAGAAAAATCAATACTTGTAAGATGGTTAATTGTTAACGTGGATCGTACGGTTGGTAGGTAGGAGAAGAGCCACGTGTCAGTTTCCGTTTGGAATTTATATGCTTACGCACGCGGTGAACCTTTTCCCTATTTTTGCTGCTTCTGCTTTATTTTCAATTTCAATTTGACAATTTCAACCTCCCTTCCCTTCCCTTCCCTTCCCCTCCCCTTCTGGATGCTTCTCTTTTGTGCCCCACTAGACGATCAAATAATGTTTTAAAAAAATTACTTTTATATTTTGTAATAAAATTTGATATACTTTTTGTATGTTGTGATGTTTTTATAATAACATTAACCATAGCTCACGGTCTAGATCATTGAAATTAATTTTAAAATAGACTTATTAAGATATCAATTTGAAAGAGTAAGGCATGGTAAATTGGTAAGTATCACGCTCAAGTTTTGACAGTGCCACTGTCATTTTGAGGAAGAAAAGGGGTGATGTTGAAAGAAATTTTGGAAAGAAAAAGGTACTTCAAATGGAGGGAGAAGAAAAAAAAAAAAAAAAGAATCAGGCAAAAATAAATAGCTAGTGAATGAAAATGATGTACCAACTTCTCAAATTCCAACCAATTCAAAAAAAAAAAAAAAAAAATCTCAAATTACAACCTAATTAATAGAAAGAATACAACTGATGAGTTCAACCCAGTACTAATATGAGAACCGTTAAGAACTATACATCAAAATTAGAATCACATTGGTTTAGGGTCGAGATGATTGTATGATCAGATCATTTACTTAGTCTACTCATAAAGAATGAGAAAAGGTAACTGCTTGGTATGGTAGCTGATTGTGCAGATATTTGAGAAGTTGCTATTTTAATTTTTGACTATTTTAGCAGGCTAAAATTTTTATGTTTGAAAAGATAGTTAAATTTTTTTGTAGTTGAATGTAATGTTTGTAAGAGAAAATAAAATGATTATAAATTTAATATGACATTTTATCTTATTAACTATTTTAACCTATTTTGTCTTAACTCTAGTCTCTAATGCGAGTCAAAACCCCCAACCTCTCGACGCAGGTCATACCGTTGGACTACAAGCAAATCATTTACTTGTGTGGTTCAATGTACATCTTATTTCGACTACAAATCACACAACTGTTCATCTAAGCTCAACAAACCCATAGTCAAAACAATGGTAAACAAACAACAGCTTTGTTAGGTCTTCGTTTGGGTTGATAGCGAACTCTTTATACACTAGCTGGGTATTACCATAATCTGACCAAGAAGTCTTAAATTGTGTTTGATTCATAAATTTAGAAAGAAAAAAAAAAAAAAAATAATAGTTGTTACCTAGAGGTCATTAGGAACAAATCCTGCATCACATTTTATTTATATTTTATGCATCTTTTTTATTTCTAAACCTGTCTTCAAATTCATGAACCAAACCAACAATATTATATTTTGATTAAACACTCATCAATTTTAGCAATCCACGTCTCAATTAATCAACTCCTTTATATAGTAGCTGGGTATTACCATAATCTGACCAAGAGGTGACAATATTATATTTTGAGTAATAATTACTCATAAAACTATCCAATAAAATATTTTGGCAATCCAGGCCTCTATTAATGAGCACCTCCTTTATCTGTTTTTATCTTCGTCATACACGCTTGCTTTGTTTGTTATTTTTTATTTTTTATTATTTTTAATTGTTAGGATAAATTACATTGATGGCCTCTCTTTAGATTAGAAAAATAAAAAAATAAATTTCACTAATTTGACATAATTATATTTGATTTCTTTAAGCTTTTAATTCACATTTGTTTATCATATGATTAAAAAATTGATGTTATCTTTTTTATATTAAAATATATATTTTATCTTATTTTTTTTTACATCTTTATTTATATTAATTTTAATCCATTTAATCTTACTGAAAAAAGAATTTAATATAATTATATCAATATTACGAGTCTTATGTTGTGTTTGGTTGAGAGATTTGAGGAGAGATTTGGAAAGAAAAATAGAAAAAATAAGTGAAATGTGAATAAAACATGCCTAAATTTCATCTAGTTTCACACACATTTTTCCTTTCCCTTTCTAAATCCCTCAACTAAACACAACATTAATGTATTTTCTCAAAATTAGTATAATTTACCGTGGTTCTCAAGTGAGACGCACCATGTGACGTGGACTTTGCTTGATATTTTTTGGGAATGTTTTTTTGGGTGGAAAGAATTATCCTGTTATTACATTCTAAACTTAGAAAACCAGAAATAGTTTTGAAAAACAATAAACTAATCCATTGTAATCCCAATCCACACGTCGGATTTACGCGGGTGAAATGTCAACTGTCCGACAAAGACCCATTCTCAGGAGGGCATCACTTTCTCTCTCATTTAAAAACCCCATCTTTACACAATTTTGCACACCAATCACCATTTTCTATCTCAAGAAAAGAAAAAAGAAAAACACAACTTGAAGACCAAGAAAAAAAACAAGAGCCAAGAACAGGCAGAGATGAAGCTAGTTTGGTCCCCAGAGACAGCCTCAAAAGCTTATATTGACACTGTCAAATCTGTAAGAAACCTTCAAGAAAATCTCATATAGATATAGTTTGGTAATGTTTTGTTTTTGTTTTCGTTTTCCATCTATAATGAAACTGTTTTTGATCTGTTTTCATGTTCATACAGTGTGAACTTTTCCAAGAATCAAGCGTAGCAGAGCTCATTTCAGCCATGGCTGGAGGGTGGAACGCGAGCTTAATCGTCGAAACATGGTCACGGGGTGGAGCGATTGCAACGAGCATCGGACTGGCTGTTGCGAGCCGGCACACTGGTGGGAGACACGTATGCATGGTCCCGGACGAAGACTCGAGGTCTGAGTACATTGAAGCAATGGAAAAGGCTAATAATAATATTTTGCCTGAAGTTGTTGTAGGCGAGCCAGAGGACGTGATGGGAGGGTTGATGGGTATAGATTTCTTGGTGGTGGATCGTAGGAGAAATGACTTCGCGAGAATATTTAGAGTAGCAAAATTAGGTCAAAGGGGCAGTGTTTTGGTGTGCAAGAATGCTAGCTCGAAAGCAGCATCGAGTTTTCGATGGCGCGCTGTTCTTGATGGCGGATCAGGCCAGCTCGTGCGCGCCGTGTTTTTACCGGTAGGGAAGGGATTGGACATCGCTCATGTAGCGGGGAGTTCTGGTTCGGGCAAGAGTGAAAGACGATGGATCAAGCAGATTGATCAGCAATCAGGAGAGGAGTACGTTATTAGGAAGCGAAACAAGTAGTAACATGCCCCCTTCAAGACTGTTTGGTTGAGGGAGATGGCCAAAATCAAGGCTAGGGTTCAAGGATGAGCACTCTCTATCAATCGTCACCTAGGGAGTGTAATTTTTATACTACAATTTTTTCCCCCTTTTTTGATTCAGTATGTATATTATTAAGTTTTCCATTAGTAATTTTTTAATTCCTTCTTCCTGTAGTTTGACATATTAGGATCTGTAACGTCTAATGAATATGAAGCAGAAATCATGTCATTTACACAATGGAATCTCTCTCTCTCTCTCTCACAAACACACATTTGTGTGGTGTGCATAGTTTGAAAATACCTAACCTTCGAAACCAGTTAGGTTGAATTTGAATCTGGGTTTGTGAAATAAAAAGAAAAGGAAAGGGAAAACTGGAAGAAATCGATTTTTTTTTCACTTTTTCCTCTATAAATCCCAAAATTCAAATTCCGCCTAACTGGTTTCCAAGGTTGGTGATTAGATCCCATCAACTACATGTTGTTCATCATAAGCAACTACAAAAGGTTTCCAAGCGGAAGATAATGAAGCTTACATGTGTAGAAATGTCAGTATACAAGACCTAATGATCTGGTGATCAGTCCCAACTCTCTCGGCTTCTTCTGAAAGCTTTCTTCTCTGAAAGAGCCTTCTTGCTTTGAAGCCTTTTCTTCTCTCCAATCGCAGCCCTTTTACAAAAGTGTAACGAGAGTATTAATTTGACCACCCACATGTAGACATTAGACTGTAGTACAGTAGAATAGCATGCAGCAAGACGATAACAAATTTGCAGAGACATAAAGCAAACTCTTACATCTTGGCAATTTTTTTTACTTGCTCTTCTGAAGGAGGTGGGGGGACATACGAAGCCGCATCAATGATTGCCTGTTTTATTCATTTCCAAAAATAAAAATATATCAAGAAACAAAACTAGCTCCAAAACATCACTTGTTAAGACAATTGACAGCATATCTGTCAATGGTCACAGGTTGAACCACTTGCAGCACTTATTGGTTGAAAGATGACCAATTAGGACGTTCACTTCAAGGATGTGCCAAAATATATTTAGGTCCACACTTCATGGTAACTGTCACCATTTAAACCATGCGGAGATAGTAGATGCATATTACAATTTCACAACAAGAAACTATAGTCACATGCACTCTCACTACCTGTAGTTTCTCCAAAGCATCTTCAATGTTACCCCTGAAGAACAGTAGCATGAAACCATTTGGTTTAATGAGAAATAAGAAAAATTAATAACAGAAAGGAGTAGTGGGCATAAATTAACTTTTGTGTTCTGGTCTTTGTCGAAGAAATCACAAGCTCCCCATCTTTGTTGATCCGATTCTTTTCCTGCTCAGAACAAGAAAAGGTAAAGAGTACGATAGCATCTTCAACAATAAAACCGGGCATTCCTAAAGAAAATGGACATAGAAAAGGGATAAGTACATTTTCTTTAAACCAAGACATATCTAAAATTGCAAAAATCTCTAGCAATTTAGAAAGCATTACAAGGTAAAGATGGTTTGGAGGAGTGTAGATATATTGGGTAGACATGCTGCAGCAGGGGACTAAGATCCACAAATATGTAAACCAAGGAAATCTTGAATTTAGCGATGCTCATAAGATGACAATGAGTTTGAGTAACTAACCGTTTGCATAATCCTCTCCCTAACCCTCTCACTTAACCAATAGGCAGTTTTAACATTAAACCGCATGTCCACCTTGGTGTTCACTGCAATAAATGGAAAAATATAATAATAAAAAAATGGCCATGGATAAATAGCGGCAAAGATGGAAGAGAATCACAATTTAAAATGTCAATTGTAAAAGACAAAATTTTCCAGACCTTTATTGACATTTTGACCCCCAGGCCCGCCACTTCTAGCAAAGTTTACTGTAACATGGTCTGAACAATAGAAAACATAATCAATATAAACGATATTGAAATATAAAATATACTGCTTTGCCATGAACAAGTAACTATAGAAAAGGTGGCACAACTTGAATTTCAGAAAATAAACAGTCTCTATAAGAGATTGCTGTAAACAAAAGCCACTACAAAGAAGTTATGGGAGTTGCGAAGGAAGTTTCGAGCTTATATTGGTCATTTGTTGAGAACAGGAATTGAACTCTATGAGATCTAATCTCCCGTTGTTCCTCGGTAGCTCAGTGGTAGAGTGGGTTGGTTGTTAATTGATTGGTCATAATTTCAAATCCTGCTTGGGGATATTTGAAATATGATAGTCTATCAATCCTATGAAGCACGGACACCTTCCCAAGGCCTATATATCAGTGTCGGACACGTGTCGGATGCGGACACGTGTCCGACACTCTCCCTAAGGTGTCCCCTTTTTTTTTTATTTTTTTTTGCAGCCGGACATGTTTTGGACAGGCTCAGACACGTTTTGGACACCACAGGGTGCAAAATATAATTTCTAAAACTTCTAAATGGGGCCAAACTGTAAAAAACAAAAACTGATAAAGAAGAGAGAGGAGAAAATTGAATCGAAGAAGAAGGAGAAGAAGAGAAGAACAAAGAAGAACCTGAACCTGAACCTGTTGAAGCCTAGATCGAGGTATGTCCTTCCTTTTTCTTCTTTGCTTCGTTTTCCTTCGTCTTTCTTTAGTTCGTAGGTCGTCTCTCGCACTTTGTCTCCTCTCTCTCTCTCTCTCTCTCTCAACCACATACTTCGTTTCCTCTCTCTCACTTTTTCGCAGGTCTTCTCTCTCTCCCTCTCTTTTTTTTACAACAAAAAATCTTATTTTTTTAATTTATATCTAAGCCCCTCTTTTTTTTCTCTTTTAATTTTTTCTATTTTTTTAATTACCTTTCAATGAACTTTTTTTTTTTTTTTAAATTTAGACATAATAAAAAAATAAAATTAGATATATTTAACGTGTCCCTAGCGTGTGTCGTATCTCCTGTTTTTTGAAAAATTGTGCGTCCACGTGTCCGTTTCGTGTCCATGTTGTGTCCCGTGTCCGTGTCCGTGTCCGTGCCTCATAGTATCAATCTAAGAGAAGACCTGATGTCTCTTTCGGTTTTTTACCAACATCTTCTTTTGTCTTTCTTTAACAGAAAATTGCAGAATTAAGAGACCGATTTGGCAACTATAATATCTGCATCAAGTCAAAATGGATTCCAACATGGTAAAATTCTCAAAAAAAGAGAACAGATTTTTTTTTTGTAAAAAGTCAAAAAATATTCTAATCTAGCATTTCTCCAACAACCCCTTACATGCATTGAAATCATCATGCTATAGACTAATGGGTTCTCTTCCTACGGGCTATGAAGCACGACACAGACACGCGACACGACCAGACCACGACACGGACACGCCGACTAACTAAATTTTCAAAAAATGGGGGGACACGACACGCTGGGGACACGTCAATCATATATAATAATTTTATCTATTAATGTCAGTAACATATTAAAAAATAATTAAAAAAAACATTTGAATAACATAAAATTACATTCCAGTCAATACATAACATGTGGTCATTGAAGCTACCAAACCGATCATTTGTTACAAAAATGCATGAAAATCAAACCACAAAAATATAAAACAAGAACGTAAATTAATTATTAAAATTAACAAAATAATAAGAATAATATATATAAATATATTCAACAAAACTAATAATATATATATTATAATTTGAAAAAAGAAATACTTACAAAACTAATTAAATATATATCATACTTCTGAAAAAAAGAAATATTGAATCAAAAGCTAATCTAAGTAAAATATATATATATAATATACTCTATATTCTGAATAATACTATATAAAAAAAAGAGCATTCTTATTTCAACTTATATACAAATACTAATTTAATCCCACACACCACACACATTATATATTCTAAAATATTAATATATTCCTGAAGTATATTCAGAACGAAAAAAAAAAAAAAGAAGACCGAAGTTGTTATTTATTATTTATATAAATACCATTTATCTGCACACACCTATATTAGAAACATAAAAAAAAAATGAAGACCGGAAGGTCGAGACGGCAGGCCGACACAACACACGACAGAGCACCAGCACGAGAGAAAGAAGAGAGAGAGCACAACACTCACATGAACAGACACATTGAGAGAGAGAAAGGTGACCTTACGACGACCGAGCGAACGCCTGAGGACGAGCGACGCACACCGACCGCGCACGCTGCCGAGCCGCCGCGAGCGACTGGACGAGCGACCAGCGTGTCTTTCTCCTCTGTTATCCTGCCTTCTCTCTGTCTCTTTTTGATCTGCCTTCTCCTCTTTCTCTTTTTGTTCTCACTAACCCTCTTAGGATCGCATTTAGGGCTTTTGATTTAGGCGCAAGACAGAATTTTTTTTGGCTTTTTTACCAGATTGACCTCAAAAAATATTTTATAAATTCTGAAATTGACCTCTAAAAATGTTTCTAAATTCTGACAATTTGGCCCCAGTGCGTGTCCGAAAGTGTCCAAACGTGTCGTGGACGTGTCCGGCTTCAGAAAAAATAAAAAAAAAATTGGACCACTCCTCTAGTGCGTTTCGGACACGTGTCCACCGGCGTGTTCCCGACGCGTGTCGTGTCCCGACACGTGTCCGACACTCGGTAAACGGGAGCCCTCGGAGAGGTTGTCGTGCTTCATAGCTACGGGTCCTCTCTTGTAATACTCATCATTGGTTCCCAAAATCATCTCTTATGTCTGATCACTGTCTAAACCTACTTGGGGGGCGTATGCATCAATAACATTCACTATATTCCCAAAATAACTAGTTTCTACAACATAATCCTATTACCTTCCTAATGAGCACAACTACATTTTTTACAGACCTTGGTAACTATTATTCCTACCCCATTCCTGTGTCTATCATTGCCACTACAATATAGTTTTAAAATTGGAATCCTTTATTTCCGAGCTTTCTTACCCGTCACCTTAGTTTCTTGAACGAAGTTTATCTTAACTATTCTCCTAATCATGACATCTACTAATTTCATAGTCTTACTAGTTAAAGTTCTTTATTTTCCATGAAGTTTACCCTAACCACCTATAATTTTTGGATTAGCTTCTTTATCGTCGCTCGTTCAGAAAAATGTGAAACCTTGCAATTTTTCACCGCACCCAGCATCGACACGGCTCCCTTTGTTTAGCATTTTCATATTCCCATGAACCACTCTAATTATTTACAATTTGAAAGCCTGGTGT